CAGAGGCATGGAGAGGGCTGGAAAGCCTGGATTGGTACTCTGGCAGCGGAAAGGAAAGTTGGACTCTCTTAAGTTATTTTTTTCTTAACTTATTCTAGGTTAATGTGAATGGCACCATGTATGTAAGGCGAATATTGAATACGTGTGACAATAAATGATTCATTTTTTAAAAATTGCCTGTAGTGTCCGGGAATGTGCAGGTTAGGTGGATTAGCCATGGAAAATGCAGGATTACAGGGATGAGGTGCGTCTGAATGGGAAGTGCTCGAAGGTTGGTGTGGACTCAATGGGCCGAATGGCCTGCTTCCACACTGTAGGGATTCCATGATTTTCTGTGGCTATAACACTATATTCTACATCCTGTTCTATTACCCTGACGTACTTATGTAAGGTATGATTTGCATGGTTAGCGCACAAAACCGTACTTTTCACTGTATCTCGGTACACATGGCAATAAGAAATCAAATCAAATCAAAATCAGTAATAAAATTTTAATACGTCCCAAAACTTGACTAGCCGTTCTCGCTGCTGCTGAGTGTTATTGCAGTCGCTTTCATTTACTGTTGGCCACCAGCTGTCAACCAGGCTCCATCTCCTATGCTTCCAGGCACAAAAGCTTGCAGTTCCCAATACAGCCTTTATCTCTACAGATTATAATGATCCATATGTTAAGGATTTACATCCTTTTGTACTGTTAGTTGATCTCTATGGGTACAACTCATCCTTTGTGGACTTTATTTCCAGAATTCATAAGGTTGGAGAGGACAGAGCAAGACTCTAACCAGATAGGACCAGGAATGTGGGACAGTTGTAGGCCCTTCAGCTGGTCTGTATGTTCTGTACCTTACCTCCTTATACTCGACTTGATTTATAATGCTCACTCGATAAAAATCTATGGCCACAAATTGCCCTTTTTGAGACTGAACGTGAGGCCGGGCATGTAGTAGACACCAACATACTTTTCACCCCCACCACTGAGTAAACTCGATATACTTTGCACCAATCATCTTGTGACTAGTGAACGCCAGCGGGCCAATTACAAGCCTCAACAGTGGCATCCCTTAACAAAAAAAGGAGTAGAAATATGCCATTTGGCTCTTCGAGCCTGCTCCATCATTCCTTATGATCATAGCTGATCATGCAACACATTGTCCTGTTCCCACTTTCCCCCAATGCCCTCTGATCCCTTTAGCCCTAAGAACTGCATCTAACTCCTTCTTGAAAACATTCACTGTTTCAGCCTCAACCACTTTCTATGGCAAAGAATTCCACAGGCTCACCACTCTCTGGGTGAAGAAATTTCTCCTCTTCTCAGTCCTAAACAGCCTGCCCCTTCATCCATACACTGTGATCCCTGATTTTGGACTCCGTTATCATTGGGAATATCCTTCCTGTGTTTACCCTGCCTAGTCCTGTTAGAATTTTATTGGATTCTAGGAGATCTGCCATCATTCTTCTGAGTTTCGATCAAATATAATCCTAACCAATTCAATGTCTTCTCATATGTCAGTCCTGCCACCTCAGGAATCTGTCTCGTGAACTTGTGATGTGTTCCCTCCATAGCCACAACATCATTCCTCAGATAAGGAGGCTGAAACTGCAAACACTTCTCCAGGTGTAGTCATAACAAGTCCTCAGGCCTCTATGGGTTGCCAGTCAATCAGAGGCTGGCAGCTTTTGGGTCCTAAAGACTACTCAAGACTCAAGGGGTGAGAATGTTTCTTTCTTCTTGTTGGCAGGTGGAAGTTCAGGGGACCGTGGGTTCGAGGGTGTTTGGAGGAAAGGGCAAGGATGAGAGTTTCAGGGTTTGCCTGCTTGACTCCACCATCCCTCTGATTGCCCCAAGATTGGAGAAACTGGAGGCCCTCCACTAAACTGGCAGGAAGGTTGCCTGTCGCTGTTAATTAATTGCTAATAGGCTGGGCCAGAACCCAATGGGCCTTCTTGCCTCAAACTTAATTAGTGTGGCTGCAAGAAGGGGACGTATGTTGCCAGGCCAACTCACCCAATCCTTTTCCCTTCTCAACACTCGTCACCTCTACTGATGTGAAAACTCCACCCAAATATATGTCTCATTTTTAATGTTTATTATGCCAAAGTGGCTCAGTGGTTAGCACTGCTGCCTCACAACGTCAGGGACATGGGTTTGATCCCACCCTCGGGCAACTGTCTGTGCGGAGTTTGCACATTCTCCCTGTGTCTGCGTGGGTTTCCTCCAGGTGCTCCGGTTTCCTTCCACAGTCCAAAGATGTGCAGGGTAGGTGGATTGACCATAGGAAATTGCCTGTATTGTGAAGGCTTGGTGAACTAGCCACAGGAAAGGGGGGGTTGGGGGGAGGGGGGGGTGGGGGGCTGGGTGGGATGCTCTTCAGAGGTTTGGTGCGGACTCGATAGGCTAAATAGCCTCTTTTCACACAAAAGGATTCTACAT